GCAGCTACAGCTGCGACCCCCCCCCCCCAAAAAAAAACAAAACAAAAGACCGGATTTCTTTGAAGAGATGTCTGAAATGTGATTGGTTAAACGCTTTTATATGAAAATGCATGTCTAGAAGCAGCGCATCCAGGGGAAAAGCTATGAAAGGATGCGGACAGACTATTTAGAGATGTTTAATAAGTTTCCATGGAAAAAATATAATTAACATCAGTCTGTGATATTTTCTTAGGCCTGCAGAGGAGGCCTTGAAGGCCCTGACGGCCCACCACTGGGGGGCGCCCAATGCAGCCGAGCGCGGCTGCCCTCTCCGGGGGGACCGTGTTCCTCCTGGTTTGCTCCCCCTTACCCCTTCCCCCCAGGCTCCAGCACACAGAACGCACTCACCACATAGGGACCATGGGGGTGTCTGCCGGGTGCGGTTAAGGGTGCCTCCTTGGAGGTTCTCTTTTCCCCGCCCTGCAGGACCCCCCACCTCTTGTTTTAATGGCACCCTAGACCAGTGTTTTTCAACCCCTGGTCCTCGGTACACTAGTGTGCCGCGAATGATGGTCAGGTGTGCCGTAGAAAATAATCCTATTTCACCTAATTGGTTTAAAAAAATTTTTTGATAAGGAATTAATTTTCTGCAAATAATATGCCATTTTTGAGTGTGTGTGCTGTTCTAGTGACTGGTGGAGTAATCATGTAATAATTCCTTATGACTAGATTTTGTATTTAATTTTGTATATTGAAGTGGACATGTTAAGAGCAATTTGAAAGACGAAATATAAAATATGATAAAAATACATTTTTGTGTTTATTTGATTCCTATTCAAGACACTTAAGATAAGATAAGAATAAGATAAGAATGACTATAGTGTTACTATAGGCGGCTACAGATTTGTTTGACATTTTTGGTTGGTGGAGTGCCTCGAGATTTTTTCAATTAACAAACTGTACCTTGGCTCAAAAAAGGTTGAAAAACACTGCCCTAGACATTACATCTGCCATACCCACACTAACACATAGGCCCAGGGGGCTGGGTGTGTTGAGCGGGGTTTGGGAGTGAGGCTCTTTGGGCAGTGGGGCCTGCTCGGGGGGCCTTGCTCTGTGGCCCCGCGGGCCCGCCCAGCCCTCTGTTTTAGATACTTGTTAGACACGGAGGACCCTGAGTTGTCCTCAACCCACTCATACTATGGGGCCTGGGGGGCGAGGGGGGGGGGTCTTCCTGCGCGCCCGCTGCCCGGAGCTGCACAGTGCCGGGGGCGCCTGGGGGGTCCCATCTGGTCCGGGGCAGCCGGGGGCCGCTGGCCCCGGGGCGGTCCGCACCGCCACACCTGCGGGGCAAACTATTTCTTTATTTCCTTATTTAGTTACTTATTAGTTACCCCCCCCTTTTTTTTCCATTTTCACTAATTAATTTTTCCCTTTTTTTCCCTTTATTTATTTACTTATTTTATTATGATTATTATTATTATTATTATGATTATTATTATTACTGTATAATTATATATGTATGTATATGTGTATGTATATGTGTGTGTATATATATAACTATATATATATATATATGTGTGTGTATGTATGTGTATATACAGTATATATATATATATATATATATATATATATATGTTTTGTTTTTTTTTCTTTTCTTTTTTTTTGGGGGGGGGCAACAGGGGGATGGCTGCGGAATTGTGTGAGGTGTGTATGTGTAGCGGTTGGAAGTGCTCCCGGGGCACTGAGCTGGTCAGCGGTGCTGGGGTGTGTGCTGGCCCACTGCATGGGGCTGTCCGGGGGGCCTGGTCCTCTCGGATGCTGGGGGGTGGGGGCTCTGTGGG